TGGTTGGTATCCAGGACTCCAATCTGGAGGCAGTGAGAGCTGCAGATGCCCTCACCTTGCATGACAGCACTCAGCTGCCCAACAATTCCAAAACCAAGATCTACTGCTCACATGTCCTCTAAGAGACTTCACCTCAAGGGAATAGTGCTGTAAGTTCTGAAATTCAAAGCCTGAAGGAAAACAAAGCCCTGAAGGGCGAGATCCTCAAAGAACACACCTGCAAATTGCAAAGCTCTGAGGTTGTGCCAGCTGAACCAACAGCTTTGGCACAATGGTTCTGAGAGAGGGAAAAGGATGCTGAAGTGCTACAGAGCTGCAGTGAAAGGCAATGTACAACCCAACATAATCTGTGGGGAGGAAGGAGCTTCCACTGGAGTCCTGCTGACCTGGACATGCAGTTAGGCCTTCCTTAAATCTTTCTTTTAAGCTGGAGCTCAGATGAGACAAATCAATTGTTTCCCTCTACAACATGTAAGGGCTGAGGACAAAGCCAGCGGCAGCATGAGCACACCTGGGAGCTTGTGTTCCCAGAAACCAGGAGGGAAGACTCCAGATAACCTTTCTTGCAAGGCCAGGCTCCTCCACTGGCTCACATCTTGCTTCTAGTTACTTTTTCTTATCCAAACTCCTGTACCCTGGTTATCTTTCTTGTTCTGGCTAAAAATAAGTCAAACATCTTCATCTGTGTACCTAAATAACCCATTACTGTAAACTTTTGCCTTCTGAAATTACAGTTCAAAACTCCCTTCTAATTTTTTCCCCCTCCCATTCCCAGCTCTTTGTTCCCTGGCACATGTGGCACGCTGCTTCCTGCCCTCTTCTTTCTAACTGAGCTCAGATTAATTAACCAGCCATAGATTTTTCTTGATTACAATGCTAAACCCCTTCTTTCTCCACAAATTAAAACCAAGATGATAGATCTTTTCTTCTGGGTGGTGGTTATAAGAATAGTACTCAATCTGCATGGTGGATGGTAGGAACTTTAGTACCTATTTAATGAACTGTTTTCATGTCAGACTGAGCAATGGTTAGGGTTTTTCTTTTGTGAGGTTGTTATTAGTGTATGTGGAGGACTAGGAAGCTGCCAGTGAAACCAGATGTCAGCTGCACCAGTCCCAGTGTACATGCTTATAGAAGTCAACCAAAATCCACCAGAACAAGAGGCCTTGCTGCAGAGAGCACAGACATACAAAACCAAGCTCATGAGCAAGTGAAATCCCATCAACTTCTGTTTTACAGATAACAAGTGACAAGCCGCAGTGTCAGATCCATCATCTGCTGCAGCCTTTTAGTAACTCCACAATGGTGACAGAACTCAGGACTGGAAATGCACAGCCATGAACTGGCTGCCTGCCCACCAAAAATCCCTGTTGGCTCCTTCTCCTGCATTCATAAGGCTATTAAAGCATTTCCCACTCACTGCTTACAGTGTACTGATAATTAGACACCCTGGGACAGTCTGGAGGAGCATCCTGCAGTTCCCACATCCAGCATCCTCAGTGTGCTCTGCATGCATATGGAACCCCAAAACATCCCTTTCAGATTCAGCAGAAGCACACGAGATTTCTCAGCAAAGCTTCAGGTGGAAATCACAAGCTCATACTGAATTCTGTAATTCAGGGAAAAACTGATTTGGGTAAAAGAATATAAAAACTAAAAAATGTGTGTGGAGGACATACAGCTCCCCCCAAGTAGCTCCCCTAAAATCCGAGAGCTCTGTCCCAGCATTTTGCAGCACCAGCGCCCTTTCTAGAACTCTGGACTGGCACAACAACTTGCTGAGTCAGGTGTTAATGCTTCAGGCTTGACTCACACACAGTTTTAATCAAGTAACCTGCTCTCTGGAGCTCACAGAAAGCTCATTTAGAGAATAACATCAACACCAAATTTGTCATCTTCAGAGGGGGCTGGGAGTTTTCCTCCCACTTCAACATTTATCATCTTAAACTGCTCTTTGATGAAATTCCCTTATCCCTCACACAGCTCATCAGGGTTTCCCTCTCCAAACCCTAACATGTGCTCCTGGCCCAGGGAGCTCCTCCTGCCCTTCTCCCAGGGCTGGGAGTGTGCTGTGGACAGCCACAGCAGCATGGCACAGGCTGTCACGCTCTGTCACCACTCACATGCTGCCAGACCCCTCAGAAGGACTGGAAGAGGCAGGACATTCCTCCACAGCACTGCTGGTGTCATCTCTCTTACCTCAGCTTATTCAAGTTTGACTCAAGTTATTTCTATTTTAGACAGGGAGCACCCCTAAAGCCCCACTGTTGAATGTCTACGTGTGGCACCACCCAAGGAGGGGCTTCAGCAGCACTTGGTGGCAGGTCTGGTAACACATGCAGGACAAACCCCTTAGAAGGGGGTTTCAACAGAACTTCAGAACTAAGCACAACTGAGGCTGGGGTTGTCCCTGGATCCCTGCAAGTGTCCAAGGCCAGGTTGGATAGGGCTTGGAGCAGCCTGGGGTAGTGGAAGGTGTCCCTGCCCATGGCAGGGGTGGAATGATCTTTAAGATCCCTTCCAAGCCACATCAGTCTGTGATTCTGTTATTCTCTAATGCTAGGCAAAGATGACTGGTGCACTGAGATCCTCCAAGAGGCTCTGCTGTTTGCAGTGTGCACTGCTGCTCTTCCTCCACTGGCCAAACACATTTGCAAAACAAGCACAGTCCATGGAGAAGCTGCAGAAGGGAAGGAGAGAAGAGAGCCAGGGGAAAAGACAAACTGTAGCAGTTGGAAATACTTAGTCACAGATTCTGGAAAGAAAAAACCTGCCTCCTCTTCAGGATCCCATCCTTCAGTAAGGAAAACCCAAACACCTTTTAAATGCTACTGCATGGGACAAAGAAGGAATAAGAGTTGCTAGTCCTCCCTCACCCTAACTGTGCTTTCTCAGCTCATGTCTACACAACACTGGGATCATCTATCACTTTCCAAAAATATTGCTCATTTCCTGTATTTCTGCAATTCTATCCCCCGGCATCAAACACTATCTTATGTCTTTGTTTCCTCATCTCAGATGGATGCACTTTCTTCTGGTAACAATGGCACATTCTATAACAGAGCCCCCCCAGCCCCTGAGTTCAACTGCTATTAAATCTCTCTATTTCTGCTATAGCACAAGACTGGTTTGAAAGAGTGAGTCATTCAAATGATTTAAAGTCTTACACATATCTGAAAATTTTAAAATGCGGTGTAGGAAGAGAAACAAAACCCCACTGCACCCAGAAGCAGAGAACAACCCAGCTACCTGACATTCTGCACCCCTTCTGCACAACTCCTACAGTGTCAGCTTGCCTTCTGAGTTAGCAACAGCCCCTGTGAACCCTTTCTTGTGGGCTGTCTCCTTTCCCCAGCCCTTTTTCACCTCTGCAGTCCTTGCTGTGGTGCTGAAGTTGCTGCCAATTTACACTGGCCTGCTCTGTGCTGAGCAGCAGATGCTCCATGACTCATGCAGTGCTTGCAGACACAAGTTATCCATAACAGCACCCTAATTAACAATACCAAATGTCAGCTCTCCCATTCAAACATGGGCATGTTCATGTGTATGACCACGTTAATTTAGAAGGCAGTGTCTGCTCCCTTGGAGTGTTCAAGGCTGGATGGGGCTTGGAACAACCTGGTCTAGTGGAAGGTGTCACCCCTGCCCATGGCAAGGGTGGGATGAGATGAGATCCCCTGCAACCCAACCCATTCTGTCATTCTATGACAAAAATACAAAGGGAAAGTAAGAGATGTTTATTTTCACCTATCATATGAATGACTTTTATTGAATTTTGAGTGTCAGAAATAGCCAGACAGCAACCTGGGCTTGAAAAATGATAAGGAAAAAATAATTAATGTCTTTTCACTGCTAAGAGCTAAATTACACCACACACACAGGCAAACAGAGTCCAGCTTTGAGATAATGGGTCAAAGCCACTAGGCTGTGGTACACTTCCTGAATGGAATTTTAAGTGTTCACAAGCAGAGGTTTTCCACTCCAAATGTTTACCTGTCACTGAAACGCCAGGGAATTTGAGGATTACACACAAAAACAGCATGAAGGAGAAACGGCAGCGTTTCTCATGGCGGTGACAAGGTGGGAAGTGCTGCAGGAGCTGCGTTCTGCAGGGCCGGGCTGGACACTGGGGCTGCAGCAGGAGCCGCGGGGCGCGCCCGCCACCTGCCGGGCACAGCCGCACACACCGAGCGCCTCCCTTCTCCTGCCTTCGCTTTCTCCTTGCCTTCCCTTCCCATCAGTTCAGCCCGCTCCGTGACCCCTCTGTGTCAGCTGGTGAACAGGGAAGCAGCAGCTCAGCTTCTCAGGATTTCTGGATGCTGGAAGGCCGTGCCCCATGATCCTGATCTGATCAGTATAAACCATGTTTTATTCCCTGCTACACTGCATCCAGGAGCCTGATGTCCCGAGGCAGTCAAGAATCTAGAGCTTGGTAGAGACAGCCTTGGAAAAAAAGCCAAAATCAGAGTCTCTGAAGCCCTGAAGGAGCTTCACAAAACCTCAGCTAACAGGTCAGGAAAGTGATACAGAACAACAGAATCACAGACTGGTTTGGGTTGTTGAAAGGGAGCTTAAACTCATCTCATTCCTCCCCCTGCCATGGGCAGGGACACCCTCCACTATCCCAGGCTGCTCCAAGCAGCCTGGCCTTGGACACTTCTAGGGATCCAGGGGCAGCCACAGCTTCTCTGGTACCCTGTGCCAGGGCCTGCCCACCCTCCCAGGGAACAATTCCTGCCCAATATCCCATCCATCCCTGCCCTCTGGCACTGGGAAGCCATTCCCTGTGTCCTGTCCCTCCAGGCCCCTGTCCAAAGCCCCTCTCAGCACTGCAAGGGGCTCTGCTGAATTCTTCTCTTCTTGGGGCTCTCCCAGCCTGGCTCCAGAGTAGAGGGGCTCCAGTCTCCTGCTACAAAAGGAAATTTAAAAGAAGAAAATAAAAAAAGCCCAATAACAAAAACAACCCCCTGGAATTTAGGTGAATAAACAGGCAGAGTAAAGAAGTTAGTAGAAAAGATTTATTGCTTAGAGCTGTCTTTTTGCAGGACTAGCAGGAGGCTCCCCAGCTCAGTCCAGCAGCTCGTCTCTCACCAGCACAGGGAAGTGCCGGCCACCCTCACAGAGCTGGGTGTGGATGGCCCGGAACAGCCCTGCAGAGCCCTCCAGGAATGGCCTGGGCTCCAGGACAGGCAGCAGCTCTGCCATCATCACCTGGGCAGGAGCAAAGGAGACACTGTCACCAGAGCCAGCAGCACTCCAGTATTCCTTGAAGTGGCTGCCTAACAAGTGAAATCTAATCAGAGCAGTATGACTAATAACAGGCTAATTGATTGATGGGTATTCTCTTTTGTCATATTTAATAAAGGCAGTGGTTCATTTTCTGCTCATGAACTACCTCGGCTGCCACCCAGCATTTCCAGAGCAGTAAGACAAGTGGCAGTGCTGCTGCCCTGCTGGAGGGAAGGCCCAGCACCAGGATGAGATCAGCATCCTGCAAGAAACTGAAGCTGGTGTTGGTTCAGGAGCTCTGCAGCCACACAGTGCTCACTCACCCAAGGGTAAGTTCAACCCTCCACTCAGGACTGTTCCCATCACCCCCCAGTTATGCCAGAGGTCTAAGTGGCCAACTCCAGCCCAAACAGGCTACAGGGACTGCTCAAGCTGTCCACATTCCCTGGCCTGGCTGCTGCTCCGTTAAACCTATGTTTGGATCTCAGACCATGCTGTCAAACAACCAGTGCAGCATCAGTATCAGCTCTGGGATTAGGACTGACAACTCAAGCACAGGCCACTTCAATCACTGGACAAAAATGGGTCTTTGGTGCCCCACTCTTGAACAGACATTTTGCCTGGGATTTTTATTTTTTATTTTTCCATCTGGCATGAAATGATGAAGTCTGAGCAGCCTGCACACCAAAACCCACCGAGCCTGCTGCACACTCTGCCTGCCCAGGAGAGAGGACAACTGCATGTGTCAGCCACCTCCCTAAAGACTGCCAGAGATCCAGGAATGTTTGGACAACACTCTCAGGCATAGGGTAGGATTCTTGGGCTGTCTGTGCAGGGCCAGCAGTTGGACTTGTGATCCTTGTGGGTTTCAACTCAAGTTATTCTGTGATTCCATGATTGCTTCCTGCTGGATACAGAGGAAGACCCAAACAGAATAGAGTACAGGGACAGAGGGCCAGGACACAGCTGCTCATCTCTGGGAAGTCTCTTTCTACAGAAATGAAAGCTACCTAAGGGGAAAGATGGCACATGAAGGGAGTGCTGCACTGCTCCACTTCCAACTACCTGATCTGCTCCTGATACTTAAGAAACAGATCTTCACCATCAAAGACAGGCCAAGAGCTACCAGGAATTTCTATGATGCTTGGCATTCCTCCATGGAAAGGCAATGGACAGGCTTGGCCCAGAAAATAGGTATATCCTTTTCTGGGATATTTATCTTGTAACATGTCCACTTGCTTCACCTGTCCCAAGAGTTTCACTTATCCTGCACATTCTGCACAGAGCTGCTTCAGACCCTCAGGGCTCATCTGCACAAAGCACCTATTTGGGTATATGTGCAGAAGGAACTTGAGTCAGCCAACAGAGCAGCAGGAATCAGGCTTTGGTCATCACTTCATTTTGGGTGGATAAAAAAAACCCCAAACCCTTCATAATCCATAATATAGGATTATAGTGCTGAAATCCCATTTGAAGTCAGGTAGCAATCTGTCTTCAGCCACAGGGCTGCAGCCAGTTATTAATAATGCCTCTCTGGCTCACAAAAAATGACTTTGCCAAAGCCTCTATCGTTCAGGTCAATGGCAAAGAATAGGTCAAGGAGTAGATTTGATTTCACAGATCTTCTCTGCCCTTTGCTGCTGGCTGAGAAGAACAAGTAATCCCTGTGTGGCAAACTCTCTGCTCAGGCTGCTGAAGAAGCTGACACCTCCTACCCTGTTCTAACAGTCTTGAATGGTAAAAGCAAGAATAGCAGCACAGTGGTTTGAGATTTAAAAGGAAAGTAACAGAGAACAGAGGAGTTCACTCCAACTGGAAGTCACACAGGAGGGAATGAGTGCCTTAATAGGGCTGTAAAGGCCTGACAAGAGGGACATTACCAACAACATGTCCACTGCCAAATTCTTTCAGAACAGGTAAATAAAATCTTATCAGAAGAGGGTCAGGCATGTAAGGGCCTCTGCTCTGCCCCTAACAATAACAACAACAACAAAATAAGTCCCATTCACTAACTAAGAGAACAAGGCATAAACACAGAAACATCACTGGGGGAACTTGCTATGCTGCTGCTGCCCATCAACACCTTCTACAGCAACTGCTGCTCCACAGTTGTCCTTTTCTTTCCCTGCTCCAGGAGCACTGACACTTGTCCAGACTCACCTTTTGTATGGCAATCTCTTGGTGCAGCATTGACACTCGCAGCTTCAAGGCAAACAGGTCCCTCAGCTCCTGGAGACTGGAGTAATAGAGGAGAGGCACAGCCAGCATGTCTGCACTGTCACATGTCTGTCCCCTGGCAGGGACACAGGCTGGAGAGCAGCTCCCCACATCCCCAGTGCAGTCTGGGCGCAACCTCAGCTGGGACTCCAGAGCTGCCAGGGTACAAGAAAAGGCAGGAGACAAAAACATTCAAGTTAAATTTGTTCTTGCAGACTTTATGATCTACTTATTGTTCCCAAAAACTAATGGCTAAAGACATTGTATTAATCAAGGTAGGCTCCTCACACATGGCACAATCAGGACACCCTAAGCTGTGGCCTGCATTGTCCCCTCCCCAGCCCTCTTGAACTGCAGGTGCACAGAGGGATGGCACACAGGTACCACAGATTTGTTTGCCACCAGAGAGTTAAGTGTCCCATTACCATAAAGATAATCAGGAGAAAAATGACCTTGGTCCAGTGTCCTGCAGACAGATGGCAAAGGGCCACCTTCATGCTGACCACAAACACAGGGACTGTCTCACCTGCTCGCAGCAGCTGCAGCTTCTGCAGGCACTGGGACACTGTGGTTTGCAAGCCCTCCAAGGTCAGAAGGCTTTCATACTCTCCTTTCAGAGTGGGAGGATCTACAAGAGATGCAGAGAAAAAGTGTGAGCACTCCTCCCCAAACAGCTTCCAGAATGGCCTTGAGTTCACCAGCCTTCATTTCAGGCAGAGAATGTTCCTGTCCCTCATGTCCAGCACACACCAAGAATATAAAACACATGGAACTGGAGGCCAAATCATCCTTATTCCACCTTCTGCACTCCCACTGCCCTTTTTCCCTCCTTACCTACAGGCTCAGCTTCCACATACTGCCTCAGACGGGAGGGGACATCCTGGAGGCCCCTTAACTCCTCCTCTATCTCTGCAGGACTGAGGCTCAGCTTTGGGGAGCAAAACTCAAACAGCAGCAGATTAAGGAAGGTTCCACAAGACAGCTCTGTGCAGCATCCTGAGCTCCAGGCCAGGCCAGCTGGGATCAGGGCAGAGGGGACCAGCCTGGGAAGTGGCACTGCAGGGGGAAGGTGAGGATAGCACAGCACAGCTGTGCAGGGCATGCTTGTCTTGTGGCCACTTTTGGCTGGATCAGAACTTTTCTAAGTGCTCAACATCTATACTGTGAAAAAAAACACTGCCTACAGACCCAACTGGAAGTGCTGTTATTGGAGGCATAACTCTCTCCAGCTGGGAGCTCACTGCAGAGCAATTGCACCCCATGCCTGCTAGGAAAGGATACAGTTGTCTGGATCCTCTCCATAAAACGGGTCCTTGCAGCTGCTGCATCTGCACTTGTTTGGCACAGACGACATCTCTGCCATGCCCTGAAATTCCAAAGGGGCAGGAGGTGGAAGTTATGCTCCTTTGTACCAGACAGTGCTCACGCTGAGCTGTGACACACCAGTGTGGCATATCAGTGCTTTAATTACAAGTGTGTCCCTCCCCTCTCTCTCTCACAGGTTATTTATCAGCCATTCCCAACTCATTCCCATGGCTGCTATCAGATCAACAAGGACACCCTGCAGAAAGCATCAGACACTGAAAAACACCTGTTACTCTCTCATTTTGAGAGGAAGGATCAGAAGACAGACAGCACATTTCCATAAGCAGAGTATGAACACATAGCACATCCCTCATTCTGTTGTATTGTCCTGCCTGTGTTTATACCCCATAGGAAACAACAAATCTTCCCTTCCTTTCTTATGAGTAAGTCATTTGCATTTCTGTATATTTATTCTGTTAGTATAGGTGTACAAAAAAAGAGCAGACAGGACAAACTCTCACCCTAACTACTTCATATTCCAAACTTCCTCGAGATTCTTCTGTGATAATTCTTTTGCAGGGACAAAGTGGTATGTTTGGCAAGCAGAATGACAGCAGCGTGTCAGGGATGCAAGACAAAGGTTTAAGGACATTATCACGAGGAACCTGGCCAGGACTTCACACAAAAGTCCACCAGTTTTTTAGATAAAGCATTGCACAAATAACAGCACTACCAGAGAGATGCATTTCACTCACAGAGTTCAACATCCTCATGGATGCACTGTCCCCATAATATCTTTTCCTTAAGGACTGTCTCCCAAAACCTGCTGCAGTAAGCGAGAGCCATCAGGAGGAAGCTTAAAATAGTTCTGCAGTGCCTGACTAACTCAAGTGTGCATGTGTCTTCTTTCTAGCCTAATGGGTCTTTTAAATCATGTTACAATCTGCAGATTTCAGAAATACATTATGCAAAGATGTGGCAAGGTTAATGGAACAGGAAAGAACAGAAGTTCCCAAGAAAATCTCCCCTCTACAAGGGATCTTTAGTGCAAAGGTTATTCTCAATCTGTTACTGAGTTGAAAGCAATAGTGAGAAGTATAAAAATTACACCAAAGTGATTAGAATGCTGAAAGGCTCAATTTAGAAGTGAAAATTAAGGATATAAAGTCTTTACAACTTGCAGAAGGGCAGCTAACAAACTGGTGACTGATAAATGACAGTTTCCAAGAGGAGGAGGAATTCTTGAGGGCAGTACAAGGGGTTATAGCTAGATTTAAGAAAGGGTTTATACTTAATATCTGAGCAAAGCACATAATGGGCCATCTGCTGAATTACAGCAAGAATTTTCAGAGGAAATGTGGGAAACCCTTCTAGAAGAGTGAAGAGTGGACCAGAGTACACAAACCCCAACCACCTGCATCATCCCTGCAGTAACACTGTAGCTGGCTTTGCGTTAGAGCTCAGCAGCAGGAACCAGCCTCAAACAGAGACAGCTGTGGTGCTTCCAGGCTGCAAAGCCAGGGCAGGGATGGTTTGGGAAACTCTCATTGGATAGTGTATACAGCCAGCCATTCCACAGGGTGTCCTGCCTTCAACAGTTGTATGGCACCAGCAGAGACTTCTGCTGCACCGTTAAACCCACGATTAAAGCATTCCAGGAACTTTACCACTAAGTGATTAATGGTAATTAGCACTTGGAAAACAAAAGTAGCACTAGTGGCTACAATAACAGGAGAACACATCCTCAGCAGCAGCCTTGTAGTATGGGAGCTCTTCCTGCTCCCAGTTCAGGCCCCACGCCCTGTGGGGTCACTGCCTCCCCTGGGCACGAAGAAAGAGCCACACCTGACCCCTCCTGACAGCCCTGAAGCTGAGGGTAGTTCTGGACTGAACTGGTCTTACCTGGAGTTCCTGGAATAGGCTTTCCTGTAGGACAGAGGGAGCTTCAGGTGGCATCTGTAAAACAGGAGCAGGATCAATCCTGGCAGCTGGAAATCAATTAACTGAGTCTTGTCCTCCAACAGGGAAAAGGGTGTTTTGTCAAAATCTGAAATTAATTTAGCTGGATTGGGAGATGTCAGCAACTCTGGAGGTTGGATCCACCACTGTCTTCAGACTGTCCTCAAGGAAGGAATTTCAGGCTGCTCATTTGACTCCACAGGCACCATGAAGCTGAGCTGGGAGAGCTCCTGCATCCTGCCACCAATCAGAGGTTCATCCAGGATGGGCAGCTGGGAGTAAAACCACGGCACAGCAGAGTACAAACATGGAAACAACACCTTCAGGGAAGCTTGTCCGCCACACCTTGTTGCCCTACCTTAGCAGGACAGGGCAGCTTTGCTTAGCACCATGTCACACTCAAAGAAATAGGAAAGGGACATTCCAGCTTCCCCTAGAAATATGATTCTTAACCCTAAATTGTTATTACAAAAACAGGAGGGTTGACAGTTGTTAGTCACATAAAGACTAGGAATGCAAGGCCACAGGTGGAAATTTAGGTAAATGTTTGAATCCAAATCCCTGTTCCCACAGCAACTGTCACTAAAGTGTCCTGGGGCCTTTCCAATTCTAATGAAAAGGGGTAATTTCCTCCCTGCACAAACACAAGAGTTAGGTTGTGGCAGCTGAGAGAATTATGCCTCGAAACTTTCCAGGGACATCGGACTGAGCCTCAATGTTTTGTTAAAACAAAAGAGGAAAAAAATTACTTAAACAAGACAGACTGGCATGAATGCAAAGCCAATCTTGCAAGTATTATTTTACCACTTTTCCACAAAGAATCTCAGTAACATTCCCTTCACAATCCTTCCTACACCAAACCCTAACTGCACTCTAGTCAGTCCTGATGCGTGTAGTTACACGGGCAGTGTTACAGGTTAACAGAGACAGTATTAAACCCAGATGCCACCCCTCCAAACAGCACCAGGCACATGCTTTAGAGAGAGAGAGAGAGAAAATTCATGCATTATGTATTATCACAGTGTAAAAATAGAATAAATAAAAAAATCAATATGCTATAATAGAGAGTATACTCAGAGGAAAGCTAAGGCTCAAGAAAACTCTACAGAGACAGCTTTCCAAAACACTTACAGGGGACTATGAAAAATCAGAAGTCTTAATTGAAAGGCTTTCAAAGTCCCAGCCAACCAAGAATAAGCCCTTAAAATGAAAACACTCACTCAGCCACAATAAAGGCTTTTCAACTGTATAGGATCCTTCCTCTTGAGAGGGATGTGAGGAGCATGAAGCCAGGCTAGGACCCCCAGAGCAGCCACAGCCAGCAGGATCTGTACACGTGCCTGTGAGTGTGGAGCAGAACAGAAGAGGTGCCCACCTCCCACACTTACCCCTTTTCCTGCAGGGTGCCTGTCCCCAGTGAGGTGTTCCTTTCCCATGGACCTGCAGCATCCTCCTTCTTGTTGGACTCTCCCAGGAAACCACAATTCTTCCCTGCATCAAGTAACTGCTTGCCATCAGCTATGGAATTCTTTCCCACAGTTGAACCCCCTCCAGAAAAGCTTTGCTGCTCATTTGGGGCAGATTCAGACAAGCCAGGTGTCTCCCAGGGTTCTGCTGCAGCACAGACACTGCTGCTGCAGTGCTGCTGTCTGGCACTAGCACCAGTTGCTGTCCTGTGACTCCTTCCTTGTTTGGAAGTCATTCCTTTTGAGGAAATCTTCCCAGCTGTCCTGGGGCCTTGAGAAACACATCTGGCTGGGACTTTCTGCTGAAGTTTCTTCATGTCTGGGTCAGTCCTGTAAGGGGCTCTTAACTGGTGTGGCTTCTTCAACAACAAAGGCTTTTTGCTTCCAGCTCTCACCTTCCTGCACTCATGGACATCCTCAACAGGTACAGGCACCTGCTGCTCTTCAGCTTTCTTGGGAGCATGTGCCTCACCTGCCCATTTCTTTCTGGTAGCTCCCTGAGCCTCTAATGGAGTTTTCAAGATGCTTTTCCTGACTTTCAGTGCCTTCTCTAAGGCCCTATTGAGCAGTTCCAGCTCCTCTAGCTCCTTGGGTGAAGGCCTGTCTTCTGCAAGAAGAGAAAACATGTCAGAAGGCTCAAACCTGGATGTTCCCCATTTGACGCTTCACAAACTTGTTCTTCCAGGTAGTACAGAAAGAAACTAAACCAAATGAATGGTGCAGGAAGCTATTTAGCTTTTTAGGTGTGGGAACAGCCACTTCACAGAGGATGCAGGCAGGATTGCCAGAAGCTTTAAAGACCCAGGATGGATGTGAGGATGAACCCAGGAGGACAGTTCTCCCGAGTCAACCTCAACAAGTGACATTCCCACACTTGGGTCAGGCCCACAGTCACTTTATTGCCGGCCTTGGCTAATGAGGCACGACTCCAAGCTAACCCCAAGAAGGAGAGCGGGCAGAAAAAGGCAGAGGGGGTATTTAGGTGGATGCAGAGCACTGGAATGACTCCGAACACCGCAAATGGCCCGGGGCCGGTGTGACATGAGGGGCAGCGGCCCGGGGGAAGCGCTCACCATGTTCAGTGCTGGAGCCTGGCTGTGGCTGCTCCTCTTCTTCATCATCCCTGCAGGGAACAAACAACGAACAGGGGCCGGCGTTGCTGCACCGGGACGAGATCAGCACCCCCGGCCCGCGGGGACTCGGACACGGCTGAGGGACCAGCGCCCGGGCCTCCCTCCTCCCTCCGGGCCGCCCGGGGATGGAGGGGCCCGGGAGGGCCGTGCCGGGCGGCTCAGCACACACCGGTGCCGGGCGGATCAGCACACACCGGTGCCGGGCGGATCAGCACACACCCGGGTCCCGGGCGGATCAGCACACCCGGGTCCCGGGCGGATCAGCACACACCGGTGCCGGGCGGATCAGCACACACCGGTCCCGGGCGGAT